GGGGGGGAAGGCCACAGAGAACTATGTCAAAAACACTCAAATTATCCCGACTGCAGCGCAAATTCAATTCAAATTTTCATCCCTGCATCAAAATATGTTTTCACAGCTTCACAAATTGTCACTTATATGAATTTAACTGTTATTTTTCCATTCTCAGTATGTTGGAGAGGCTTCTCCAGGTAGCAGAGGTGGCCTTCAGCAATGAGACAGACAGCTACACAATCCAACATCCAAAGCCAATTTAGAATGACCAATTAATGTAACATGCAGTTTTTTGACCTCCAGGAGGAAGTTATACAAAGATATAGCTGTACAGTAATCTAGATGTTGGTGTAGAGTAAACTTTGTTTTTTAAATTCACAAATACAGATGGTTAAAAAAATAAACAAAACTATAATCCTGTACAAAAAAATGAAACCCATTATCCTTTGAGCTGAGAATATCCAATCTAAAAGTGACAACGCTTTGAGACAATACAGCGAACCTAAGCAGGCTATGGAGTGACTACTGACTACTTAAGCTGTTGTTATGGTTGGCATGTTGGTCACTGCTCAGTCTAAATGTGACATCAGTCCCATAACTATTCATAAGGGTGCTTGTGGTACACTGGACGTGGTGAAGTCTTCTCGTAAACAACATGTTTTGCAACTCAGCGGAAAAAAAATTATACTAGAACAAGTCCAAAGAGGAAACAAAATAATTATGGTGGTTTGAAAGTTTTCTCCACAAAATCTCATCTTTTTTTGCTCCAGCTGTTACAGCTTTTCGCCTTTGTACCCCGGTTATCTCAATGTGCCTGTACTGACCCATCACTGAAACAGCAATAGACATTAAGCTTTTCAAACACTCATTTTTCCAGCCTGACTAAGTCAGGAGTCATGCAGCATTTGTGAGAGCAACAATGGTGAGCATAAATGGCCAGTTAAGTCTGTTATGACTGATGGCAAATTAGGGCTGTTACAACAACTATGTGTATACTGGACTAAATGCTTCCCTTAATATGCTCGTTAAGTAGGAATGCACTTCTCTGCAGCTCGTCTCGTGTTGGCAGGGAAGCTTTCTGGGAATAAACTATGTTTGATGGGGGCGAGTCATCAAAATTTTGCCGTAAGTCAGTGATGATGTGTTTCCAATGTGTTCTGCTATCTCATCACAACCATAATAACAAACAATAATGATTACTGTGTGACATCACTTTGACTTTCTGGTGAGTTACGTTATGCTAACTGTTCCAACAGGATCTTATTCCACATCCATTGAACCATTTGTGGTAAACATGCGGCCTATGTGCCAGAACCAGCCCAGCAAAGGGCTCTACTTTGTCCCCCGGATGGTGCTGCAAAGTGCAAAATTTGCAGTGAAGTCTTTTTATGGCATCTTAAGTAAACATGCTGTATGCTCATGTGTTCACTAAAAAAAGGATCCCAGATGTAAGATAAAATTTCACTTCTATTTAAACAAATTTCACTTCTGTTTACAATCCTGGTTGAAATGTGGTTTTATGGATCTTTAACAGATTTGGTATTCTGTTCAACACTCACCATCATATCCTGGAAGTTTTTGGTGACGACGAATGCTATGCTCCAGTTGGTGAGGACGCAGACAGCGCTGGCAACCCCCCTCACTTTCACTGGGAAGATCTCTGACATGACGAGCCACGGGATCGGACCCCAGCCGAGAGCAAAACCTGAACAGGACAGCAACAGTTATTAAAGTGGCATGGTCTGTTGGGGGAATACACACCCACAAGTTTAACAAAAAAAATCCCCATCAGCAGCACTAATTTGTTTGGGTGTTTTGGAGTATTAAATGTAGGGCTGTTCGATATAACGATATAACGTCTAATGTTTCATTTTACGCTATCGCTTGTTTCGTGGTGTCGCAAAATAAACTGTTTACGGAAATAGTTTTTCATCGTTTTGATGGTCACTCCAGGATTTCTTAAAGTTCTCTCTTTCTCTTATATATAAAATAACCACACTACGGACGAACAAGCGACTGTTTGTATGCGTTGTCGTTAGCAACAACGACGGTAAAACCATCGTGTGGCTCCGCCTTCCGCTTGTTTATTTTCCACGTAAACCTTTCACAAAAAAAGCTGAAGATCCTGTTGAGATTTTTCAAAATAAACTGAATCAGGTGAAATTGTATGTGGAGTGTTTACGGATGAGAAGCTAAAAAGAGCCATCAGGTGCTTAAAAACATAAACCTTAGGACAGGCTTTTACCCTCAGCATGCCGTGTAATAAATACTCACAAAATTGTGAAAATTGCCACCGTTTCAACTTATGTAACACTCGACTCCAGGTACAGCACTCCCAGCTGAAAACACTTCATGCAAGTTGCCCGAGATTCACAGAATTTACAGAAAATGTAAAACTTTTGTGATAAATATCGTTGTTTGGGACAATTAATATAGGATATAGGATATGAGATTTTGGTCATATCGCACAGCCCTAATTAAATGTTTTGCAGATGACTGACAAATTTATCTTTGAATTTGTGATGGAATAGCCAAAGCCATTAAATATCCAAAGTTATTTGTATTAAGTACAAGATAAGGAAAAGGTGTGAGGACTAAATCATTTTTGCATCTTGAAGTGGAGCTGATTGACCCATTTTTATATGCTGGAAAACTGACCTGTGATGAACACCGCTATGCTGGCCAGAGCCATCCAGGCCAGGTCACCATGGGGTTCTGGAAGTAAGGACATCAGGTAGAAGTAAACTCCAAATGCTGTGGTGCTGATGGCCATGGCAACACCTGTGTTATGAAATTACAATCAAGGAGGTGTCACAGAGAGATCTCAGGAATTATGGTTAATAATTACATTTAAAGATTCTGGCTACCTGAGATAATGAGAAGGACTTTCCTTCCAGCCTTGTCCATGATAAGCGCTGCTACTCCAGTAAAGACGACCTGAATGAGACCCACGATCACTGATGCCAGGTCACTTTGCTGCAGAATAACGAGAAAGACAGGTCTATAATGAATTTATGTTTTCACTGAAAACTTGTAAATTGATAATTTTGCTGTTGAATTCAATTTTCACCTCCAAGGGGAGAGCTTTCTATTAGTGTGTTCACTGAAATGTTTCGCATTTTGTTACACTAACTTGTGACTTTTGTTTTTAGCCCTACTCCTATTTCCCAAAAAAGCCTTTTTGGGAAAAGTGCAACGCGACAAATCCATTTTTGATAAAAAGGTGCCAGCACTGTCCTGTGAAGTCTTGCTCTTCTGCTCCTTCATCTGCTTTGTTTAGTGAGTGATAGAAAGAGCAGTAGCGCCTGTGAATGAGCTACCTTAAAATGTGCCTGTTCAAATATATTCTCAGCATAGAACATGATGGCGTTGATCCCGCTCATCTGCTGGAAGATCATCAGCATGATGCCAATCACCAGAGGCTTGTAGACACCAGGATCCTTCAGGTCAGACAGCTGGAATTTAGAGCCCTAGGAGGAAAACAGAATAAAGTCGTCAATCATCAAGCCAAACTGCCAACATTTTCCCACAGTGGTTGAATTACAATTGAGGAGGGCAAAGGCACTGTGGCCAGAAATTCTTGTCTTATATCACCTGCTCATCACATGCTTCCTCAATGCGGGTGCACTCCCATTCGACAGGAGCGTCTGGTCCACGTAAGAAGCGCAGTGACTCCACAGCCTCCCTTCGCTTGCCCTGTGACAGCAGGAAGCGGGGCGTTTCAGGCATGAAGGACATAAAGACCATCAGCAGCGTCGGTGGGATGGAGCAGCAGATCGCCAACCAACGCCAGTCCATAAAGAGACCTGCAGGACAGGTTCACACACACTCAGGACGAGCCATTTCTACAGCTATTCCTCATCTTTTGTTTAAAGAGATGTGGAAAAGAAGTTTTAGAAGCCATTCATTTTAATTTTACAATAACAGGAACAAGGATATTTATTATATTTCAAAATCGGCATCTAAAGTGTTATATGTGCTCAGAGAAGGTTGTTAATTTTGGCCAAACAGGTAATCACTAAATCACTGAATGAGTTAAAAAATGTCTAACAGAGACATTTCCCCCTTTACCAAAAAAAACAAAACAAAACAAAACAAAAAAAAAGCCTCAATAGAAATAAGCAACATTTCTTGTACATATGAAAGACAATTTGATTCATATCAGAATCAGAATACTTTATTCATCCCGAGGGAAATTAGGGTTACAGCAGGCAGCACGCTAATGGCGCATGCGCACTTACAAAGGAACCTTCTGACCAACTTTACACAAACATCACATTGGGCAGACATGTCAGAAGGTAGGCTGATAGGAAAAACAACGAAAATACACTACATGAGGTAAGAGGAGGAGAAAAATATGGCCTTTTAACAAATTCCATGATGTGATCCATCACATCAAACCATGCAGCTGTTTTGAAACAACTTTGTCTTAACAGTGAGAACCATTTGAACTGACACTTTTAGTTTTTACTGAAGCCTCAAGGTTAGCATTTATGCTGCCCCCATATCTAAGTGTTTAACACCAAACATTACAAGTGAGGGGCGGATTTAAGTGAGAAAGGCAATGCATGCTCACTGGGCAGCAACGTGTCAATATTAAGGTGAGCCTGTCCTAATGTGTACTATTATGATCCTTCTGTATGCTAATGAGACAATAATTTATACAATGAACATCATGTTATATTGAGGAAGACTTGAGGAGGCTAGTGACTGATACAATAAACTAATTAGGAACCTGTTTACTGAGGTTATAAATCAAATGAGCAATAAGCTATCTTTGCAACTGAGTAGTGAGCCCCTGCTGGCCATTAAAAGCATTACAGGTTTAGCTTTATTTTTCAAACCTGGAGACTATAGACCAGGGGTGGGCAACTCCAGGCCTCGAGGGCCAGTGTCCTGCAGGTTTTAGATGTGTCCTTGATCCAACACAGCTGATTCAAATGGCTGAATTACCTCCTCAACATGTCTTATAATTCTCCAGAGGCCTGGTAATGAACTAATCATTTGATTCAGGTGTGTTGACCCAGGGCGATATCTAAAACCTGCAGGACACTGGCCCTCGAGGCCTGGAGTTGCCCACCCCTGCTATAGACCAATGTAAAATATCGCAGTTGCAACACGTGCTTTTTACTTCAGGTTTTTCCTGCATTCTTATACAATTGCCTTATTCCTTAGCATTTTCCTGTTTCTCAAACTTTATCCATAAGTTCTATTTGTCAAATGTTACCCAAGTTACCAGATTGTCTATGACACACAGTTATGCGTGTGTGTGTGTGTGTATACACACACGTTTAGACGTCTTTGTGAGGACAGAAAATTGGGATGCTACTATACCTGTGGGGACCAACAGTCACTTATGGGGACAAAATGACCGTCCCCACCAGTCTGAGGGCATTTTTGAGGCTCATAATGTGGTTTTAGGGTCAGGGTTACAGTTAGTTTGTGGTTAGGTATTCATTTTTCATGGTTAGGGTTATGGTAAGCAGCTAGGAAAAGCATTATGTCAATGACATGTCTCAATGTCTTCACACTTGAAAACAAGTGTGTGTGTGTGTGCCTCTCTTTCGATGTTTTCAGTACTTTAGTGAATACAGTTCTCGATTAAGCCAGTCTGCCAAGAATGAGAACAGAGCACCTTTTGCACAGGAACCATTTGTTCAGAGCGTTGAATAAAAAGAGGTTTGGGCTTGTCTTTTTTTGATTAGTTATAAAACTCAAGCGCACACTCTAAATTGATACGCAGAAAACTGAGTTTCAGGTTTTTTTTATTTATTTATTTGAGTAATAGCTTTGGGGGGCACACAGAGGGATTATGGTCACGTCAAAATTCAGTCACAAGGCTCACACAGAGAAACAGGTTCTAAACCAGTTTACTGATCAACTGATTCATAAATAAATTGTTCTATTTTTAACCTCATGATGTTATTCCGCAAGTTATCACTGCAAACTCTGATAGACCTTTGATACAATTCAAAAACCATATCTACCCACAACCAAACAGCTGTTTGACTGCAGTGTGACACAGTTGCTGTGTTTGCACAGCAACTAACCTCCAGAGCACCACGAGACAAATCCACCTCTCAAAACATACCAGCTTTTATTAGGAAATCATGCACAGCACGCAGCTAACACGATTAGCCAGAAGCAGCCATTTTCACACGGGTCAAGCAGTGAGGCTGTTGTCTAAGAGGCAGCAGAGGAATCGGATCATATATGACGATGATCATGTGAATGCCACATTTGTTACATCATCTTTCAATGATTTGTAGGTTGTAAAACGTTGTTGTTATCTGACACTTTTTCTTGTATCTGACACTGCAGTTCTTGTAGCCATGTAGACTTTGCAAAGGGAGTTTTAAAGATGCCATAAAAACTTTAAACATCAGTTTCATACCTCCAAGATAAGCTCCCATGATGCCTATCACCACCATGAGCTGCACACAGGAGCCTAAAGTCCCACGGACCTTTTCATGTGCCATCTCAGAAATATACACCTGTTTGAGGGGAGACAAGGGAGAACATCAAAAATTCAAACCTTTAGTATACAGAACTGTTCTCTTAATGGTTTATAAAGCAAACACATATAATTTTGTTTATATAAAGTTAAGAGCACATTTACGATTCACATTTGAGAAGCTAAAGC